TTAAAATCAATATATTCATCGCTCCGCTCACAATCTAAAAGGTAAGAGTGACTGATTTAATTTCACAGAAACACTCTTTATATAGATATACCTAATGGCTGATGATGGTGTGGGCTTAGGTTATAGATATATAGCGATTAAACAACGAGTGATTCTACCACATTAAATAAGCACATCTTTGTATTATAATTAGGTAGGTAGGTAGGTAGGTAATTAGTATCTTCCAAATGTTTAATTGGTACCTACCTATATGACTGCATACTATATAGTTAGTGTTAAAACTCAAAACGATGTATAATGTATATATAACGAAAAATTACACCTGCGCCAGGACACCTCTAATCAAGCCCTATGTAATAATTACGAGCTGCTGCACGACACGTTGTTATAAATGTGACACTAATATTAATTATCATACGATGTCTTCATACGACTTACCTTTCGCAGATTTCGTTGGAACCTATTAATAATTAGTCCTATCACTCCTATCCAATTGACAGCGAAACAAGTTGTATCGTAGTGTACTAGTGTTTATAAGTTGTGTGCAAGACAATGTATAAGAACGAAATGGAAGTTGGGACTAATATTCATTTGTGTAATATTGAAATACTCAAATGTACGTAGCCATACAGGTACACGAAATAATTCAAAAATCATGATGGTAGGCGGTGGCGTACCCAGAGAGGGGGCTAAGGGAACTTCAGCCATATTATGGCATAATTCTTATATGATTAAACTATTAAAGGCAAAGTACAAACCAAGATATATTTCTGATATCGGTTTTGAATTTCCGTATTATCAATTATTTGTAGAGATTATTACTACGGTTACGGGATGTAGTAATAACGACCTAGTATAAGGTAATGGCTATCAAATCCTAATTTACTTTGGTTAGCCCCCCTCCTCCCATTGAAAAATCTTGGATGTAGGAACCTAGAATCTAAAAATACGCGATCGCGTAATTGCAGGGAGAGCAAATGGCTGGTACAGAATCGGTTCCAGAGCCTCAACCCCACATGCCCAATTGGTCCTCGTTTACAGAAAAAGGTATTTTATCAAGTTACTTAAGCCGAAACGCTTCCCATTTAATTACGCACATTTTCCTTCCCAATTTTACAGGATTGGGACTGTCAACTTTTAATTAGGCTTGATTAAAAATGGTTGTTGTCGATTGTCGAAGTGGAAGTCAACTAGTAGGTACTCCGCAGTCATCACTTAGGCATACAAAATAAAACAAACAAAATCAAATACATATAATTTAAAATAGTTGATTTACAAATTTGAAACAGACTTTTTCAATTATGTTAATCATGTAAGTGTCCCATTAATGTACTCAATGAGACATACATACAGCCATTTTATTGTATATGCTATAGAGTATAGAGTGTAGGTACATTAATACTTTCTAATTTACATTTTGTACAAACGCAGGAATCAGCATTGCAGGACTTTTTCGTCATAGTTTTGTACGACTGAACTAATGTGGTTAAGAAGATTTAAGATTTTAAGAAGATAGGGAATTGGGAATAATCTACTAGATAAAATGCTTTTGAAAAATCGGTATAAGTTGTATCGACTTGGGCTGTATTCTAGAGGAAATTGTAATTTATGAGGTTAAATAATATGATTGCATAACTATAAGAATATAGCTACCAGGGCGTTAGTCAAGTTATACACTGACTTATAATATACTGATAAGAGTAGAAGAATTGAATTCAGTTTAGTTTTTTGTTCAGAATCTCAATAAGAACAAAGTCAATTGTACGTTTAAATGCAATTCCTCCATCTATGACTAAATTTATTTATTTTTTTTTTTTACACAATAATATATACAATCTGTACAATTATGCACAGTTAGCATATTTGATAATGGTTAATAATACATGAAATAAGAAAGAGTAAGAAGCCACCCACTTATGGCACTTGACTGGAAGTTGTATGAAACTGGTTATGCTTATATACGTATTTATTTATTTTTTTTTTTTTATATTAATTCCCTAGCAAATCACGGCACCATCTCCTTTTTAATCGACGCCTGGGGTTGCCAGGTAATGTTTGGATGGACAGGTTTTTAATGAGTGGATTATGGTTTGCAGCCGGGCATGAAAGATTTTGTAGAAACGTATAGCTTCTTCTGTCAGTTTTAAAAATTTATTTTTAAAATTAAATCAAATCTTTACTTTTAAAATTATATATTTTTTACTTGTTTTCATATATTATCACCCCTCTCTCCCAAAACTGAATCCAAAACTGAATTTTGTTAGTGATGGTCCCATACTGTCAATATTAATAGAGCTGTTATTAATGTTTCAAGTTTTATGAGTCATATTAAACAAGGTTTTACCAACTAAACAAATTTATTATTGATAAAATAATAATAAATTTTAACCTATACAACTAATTAAAAAAAAATAATCATTCAGTAACATTTAACAATGCAATATAGAGATGAACACCAAAGGGAAGCAATCTCTTTATTCTTAAAAATTATTTTTACTTAATTTATTTTGTATATTATTGCATTAATTCATTCTGAAGTGTTGTCAATGGATGGTTCTTCTCCCATCCCTTCCCATTTTTATAATTATATAAAAAATTATATTATTTTTAGCTCAAAATTCTATCATAAAAAAATGTAGGTTACATAAATTAATAATTTTTTAAAATATGTTCATAGTTCTTTACAGTAAGATGAAAAAAAAGGTCTGCTGTACAGCACGAGTTGAGTATACCTTATCATTGGGTAGGCACCTGCATTGGATGTGTTAGATTTCGGTTCAATGATAAATTATTGAATATACAACAAAAATGATTCTGAGCGAATATAGTCCAACTTTTTAGTAACCAGGGTAACCAAATAATTATTTTAATAATAATACCAAAATGTTAACATATGTTTTTTTTTTATTATTTTAAAAAGTACTGACCATTTTTGATTATGCCATCACAACATTTTCAAGTAGCTGCAATTAGATATCAGAAACCCCTATTCAATGCTGACAATCAGATAATTTTTTCTACTGGAAAAGTATCTTCAGAAAAAAAAAAGCCCAGTACCAACTATACATAACACTATTTTTATTCAAGTATACATTTCATCATTTTTAAACAATATATTGTTATTTATCAATAGCCATATACCTATAACCATATATATTATATATAATATATAATTCTTATATACTTTTATATCATAATAATATTTAATAAAATAATAAATCCAATATTTTAAACTATTTAGGTGTAAACATACATTTGAAATAGAAGATATTAAAGTATCTATATAGTAATCAGGCCCGTCGTAGGGGCACAAGTAAGCCGTGCGTTGCTTAAGGGCGGCATACAACTTTAAAGAAATTGAAGGCGGCAATATTAAATAAATATCGGTAAAGAAGAGCGAGATTAAAATGTTCTCTTCAGGGCGGAAAATATCTAACAACGTGCCTAATAGTAATAAAAGTAATTGACATTTGACTGTATCTTAAAAATGATGAAGGTATTATATTTTATTGTAGACTCTATCTTAGTATCTACAACATTTTAGTATTAAAAATGTGTTTTTTTCGTTCATGTAGTTATAATAATAATGATATAAATATATTAGATTTTCTAATGGCAGTTAGCCACAAATCATTTTTTAAATTTTTTAACTTTAAACATTTTTCAAATTATGTACAAATGACAAAAGACAATTATTGCAGACTGCAACTATACTTGTATATTTTATAATAAGAGTAATGCATGTTAAGAAATGTTATTTATGGAGTGATTTTTAAGTGTGATATAATTAGTTATTGTTTAATGTCATATACTATAATTTTTTTTTAAATAACTAACTTTATGTAACTACCTTTTAATCAAATAAATGTACCACCTACAATAAACTAGATGCATAATAATAAAAAAAAATAATTTAATAATTCATAAAATATTAAAAAATTGTAATGATTGTATTATGATTATTATGATTATATGTTATCATGCAAATCAAAAAAAAAGAATCATGTATTGAGTACGGAGCTTTTTTTTACCATATTTTAATATTGAAGCTTTTTTTCCTTGATTCCTTCAGACGCAATAATAAAAGAACACACATCGCTGTAAAATCCATACAATCATTACTAAGCTTTGAATCTAAAATCAAATACATGTTTCTTTAGTGATGGTTTTTGATTTTGGTATCTAATCTTATTTAACATTCTCATATTAAAGTCATGAGTTTACTGAGAGATTTTAAGTATGTATAGAATAAATAACAAAAAAACTTAATAATAATTTAATATTAATATTAAATACATTTCAAATTACATCAAAGTGGCATATAAATAATATGAAAACTGATTTCGTTATGAAAAATAAACAACAGTGTATAATTTAAAAAAAAACATAAACTCATTAATAAGAATAAAAATATGTTTGAGTTAAAAGCCAATCTTATAAACAAAAAGCTACATTTTATGAAATAAAAATCATTCATAATAAAAATGTACTCATGTTTATGAGCCAGTAAATAGCCAAACATTATGAACAAAATGGTCTATAATAAATAATATATTTATAAACTGTTCTGAAGAATTTCACACATAGAATGTTTTAATTGTTTGTGATAAAAATATTGGGTGTTTCTTCTATAGCTATAAATTATTATTAATTAATAACAATTTATTATACAAATATAACACTGCAGAAACACCCAATAGCTTACCATGTTTATTAAATTATTATTTCCTTAATCCAAATTAAACCATCGTAAAACTGTTGATACATTTCTAAAATATACAGTTATTTATTAATTTTTTTACAGTTAATATTTAAAAAAAATTTAAATTGGTAAAATTAAAATAATAATATATACATATCAAAACATATTACTACAATTTTTATTGACTGTGAATGTTCAAATAAATTTAAATAAATCAATTATAATAGTGGAAGTTATATTGTATTATTTTCAATTTATTTTATTAAAATTTTTTTTATTCTATACAGAAAAAAATAATAGAGTTTTAAAAAAAAATTAACACAGGATCACAAAAATAAAAAATAATAATAATCATTTATAAGGCTTAAACAATTATTAAATTATTTAGCACGAAAATAAGCTCAATAATAACCTCATGATGTAAAAACATTATGCTAGGAGATTAACTTGCTAATGTCAAACATTTAAAACACCATTCATGTTGTACCTAAAAAAAAATATACCAGAATATTAATATTTAAGTTGCTAACATTTAACAATTAAATTAATTTCAAACACATACTTTGCGGTGCACTAAATGGTCCAACACGGTTGTAAACATCAACAGCTCTCACTAAAAAATGATATTTTTCACCATTTGAAAACTATAAAATAAATACAAATAAAAAATATAAGATTATACTCTCAAAAAACAAAAAAATATTTTAATATATTTACGTGAGTTAGTGAGCAGGCCATTGGTAGAGGAAGAGCATTTACATCACCAATTTTCTTCCATAGTTCAATGTTAGGTGGTTGATTAGGGATCTCTTGATAAGCATATATCTGATAACTTACTACGTCTGCAACTGTTTTATTAACAGTCATATTCCATGACAGCACTAATGCTACAAAAGAAAAATATAAAATGTAAGAAATCCATGAGTTTTTGAATATTGTTATTTAATATTACTACATTGGGGAATATTTTGTGATTCCGTTGTTTTAGTAATGGTCAATTTAGGTGCCGGAGGTAACTTTTTCCAAGAACTAAGATTCTTTTGGTTTGGAATTCCGGGCACTGGAGACGGATGCTGAAAATTTAAAAAAATATATGTTATCATATATTTAAATTATTGTTCTTTCTTTTTATAGTGTAAATAAAAATAATAACAGAATTGTCATACTGCTGCTGAAATTGGAATCCCAGGAGGTGGAGGCGGTGGTTTGTTTGATTGAGATCTTGTTAAACTGTGTTCAGTAGAAGTTGGCTGAGGTATTGAACGTATTGATATCGGTAATCGACATGTAGTAAACTTTGTTCCAGAAGATGCCCCTGGCAAGGCAATACCAGACAATGATCCAGATACACGGGCTACTGGTAATTGGCATGTTGTTGAATAAACTGGAGTTAAATTTTTTAATGATGCAGAAAGTTGAGATACTGTTATTTGGCGAGGGTCCGTTGAAATTGGTTGTAATGTTCCAGATATTTGAGATACTGGAACACGCTGAGCAGTATAAGCAACGGCACAAGGCTGAACTAGTACAGGATCAACACGTGGAACTAAAAAAATATTATTAATTATTTAATATTTTGATACAGCACACAATTTAAAAAATATTCTCAATAATCTAAGACATCGAGTATGCAACTCTTTTTATTTAGAGTAATAACTAATAAAGTTGATGAATCCAACTGGTTTTAGTATAATAAATCAACTGTAATATTCAAAATTAAGTTATTTAATAATAATCTTTTAATGCCTATTCGAATTGTATGAACAGAATAAATTGAAACATCAAAGGAAAATGTTGGAACAAAACCCAACACTAAACACATACAGAATGGGATGTTTATTGTAAAATGCAATACAGAAAATCAAATTAAACAAAGCTGCCCTCCTAAGATGGGAAATACAATTACTCACAGACCATATAATTTATAGTTTCTTATGTTTGCTGGACCGAGAATTTGTATCTGGTTAACTATGCTCTACAATGATTTTCTAGGTACTATAAATGGATTTAAGAAACATAGAGGATACAAAGGATAGACACTTGTACTTACAGCCCTCATAGTGTTAGGATTCCACAGGAGACTTAAAATAAATGCAGCATATAACATCATCTGGAGTCACTCATATGAACTAAGTGATTCCAAACAGAAAATTAGTCACAATCTTAAAAGAATTAAGACATTAAGATTACAAATTAATCTGATGCAGAAGCTGGCCTAAAAAAGAGGAAATACTTCAGAATTAAGGGTATCTTCATCTGCACTAAAGGAATAACAAAATCTACTCCATTGCGATGGCTATGTGTATTAACAAATAGACTTCCAAACAAACAAAGGAATGAAAAACTAATCACAAATGCATTGGCATAGGCAATTATGAGGATTCTGTTACAAAATAGCACGATGAATAAACCAACAACTATAGTAAACAACAATTTGGTGGTGGATCCAAAATGGAAATAGAATTGCCCAGGTATGAGTAGTCTGTACAAAATCAACTACAGACCGGCTGTGGTTGTTTTGGATACATGATGCACAAATAGAGACTGAAAGATAGTTAAGTGTATGATTGTAGCAACAGATGACAAACCATACATTTAATTATTATGAAATGCCGAAGATAATGGAGGTAACCTCTGCACGTGACTCTCTCAGCATAATATGCTATTGAACACACTGAAGTCCTAACAAACAGAAGCAATCACAATAGCATAATAAATATCACCAAATTTGAGCTGATGCTCAACATACCAAGCACATATTTACAAAAACATAAGCTTACATAATGGAATGTCAGGCAAAACAACTTAAGATGGAGTATTGAAGAACTGATACAATAACAACAGAGACAATGAACTGGAACAAGGAGTTAGTTGAAAAATATTTCTAAATTTGTATTACCATTATTACTACCTGTTTATCTATACATATTTATATTATATAATATTTTATAACTACATATTCATTTATGTCATTATTTATACTACTCTTATAATGTTAATTTGTTTTTAATCCATAGGAATAAAAAAATACATAACTATAATGATTAATAACCAATGTTACCACACAATAATTAAAACTAAGAAATAATTTTTCTTTTTGTTTTTGAAGATGTAAATGGGTGTTATGAAACTAAGGTAGATGTTAAATGTAGGTACATTATATCCAATAAAAATTTAAATAAATATTATGTGTAAAAATAAAAATGTTGTCCTAATATTTGATTTTTTTTTTTTCAAATTTTAAGATGCCTGGTCATAAAAAATATACAAAAACGAATGATTCAATGAAGTAACTATTATGACTGACTAAGATAATAATATAATCAATCCATCAACATTATTAATTATTTTAAGGGGCTAGTAAAATAATTATAATTAGGTAAAATAGATTAAAAGAATTATAATTTAAAAAAAAATATTAACTATATTTAGTATTTATTAATATTTGATCCAGAAAAATATTATGATTCTCTTTTATTATAACAATGCAGCTTCATTATCATTGTTAACAACTGATTTTTAAAGAATAAAGATAACAAAAATATTCAAAAATAAATGATTTTTAGCACTTGGTTAACTGATTATACCCTACAAATGAAAACTTCATTATCACTAACTGTTATTATCTTTAACCATAACCGAACTAAGTATGGCTCAGTTAATATCATATGACAAGTTATATGCAGATTTATAAAAAATAATTTTAATAATCTAATAAATTGAAACACCGAGACAACAATAATATGGTATTTATATAATATATAATATTTAGTTATATTAAAATTTAAAAACTTACCTTCAATTAAAATTGGTTTAATACTTTTGAGATTTGGACTTTTATTTACAGTGTCTTTATTCAAAACAATTGTCCGTTGGGGAGAGCCCTACAATGAATAATAATTATAACTATTACAGAAAAGAAAAAATTATACATTTCTTATGATCTTACTGAAGTAATTGTTGAAGATTTTCTCACTATAAGAGTTGAGGAGGATGATGAATTGTTAGGTACATTAGTTAAAGCTTTTGACAAAATGCCGTTCTGAAACAATAACCAATTAAATGTTTATACCTGCTAAAAACCACCAAACATAATAATATATTATACAATAACGAATATTACAACTAATAATGTACGATGTTATATTATTATTGAAGTGTTTAACAAAGAATCAATAATTAAAAAGTTATAGAATGATGCAAGGATATTTTTAATTTTGTAATTTCTAGAGATAAGTTTAGTCTTGATTCTACACATGCTTTGGATAAATGAATAAAAATGAGTCTACAGTTATAACTCACAATTATTAATCATATTATTTTAATGTAAAATGTAATTGCTTAAAATCATATATAATTTAATAAAAAAATTAGTGAGATACCATTTGTGCTGGTAAAATAGCTGGACTCCGGCGAAGAACTTTCATAGGTGATAATGGTTCCTTCGAATTAGTTATAATTGGTTGTTCAGTTACATCATCATTTCCTGTTAAATCTATAGTAGTGCCAAGTTTGATAGGATCCACAGGCTTTGCAGCAGTAACAGTCTTTGCAGCAGTAACAGTCTTTGCAGCTGTAACAGTCTTTGCAACAGTAACAGTCTTTGGAGATACCACTGGTGTTTTTGATAAAGTAACTAAGGGGGCAGGTATTTGCTATTTAAAAAAAAAAATATATATAATACAATATTTATTATGTGCAAATAAAAAAAAAACAATTTAATTTAACTCAAATGCTCGAATTTCTAACAGTTTTCTTCAATATTTTTTTTTCAGAGAAACTACACAGAAAAATGAGAATAAAATCAATCACCATCAGACCATATTTCTGAATATTTTAAGACGCCATACTATGAAGCATATAAAATTATAAATCACTCTTAAAAAAAAAAATGTTGAAAGAAATTTAAAAAAAAAATTATCTATACAAAATCCTTGATAAAATCAATAGGTGTTATTAGTATTTGTATCAATTAACTAAATTAGTTTAAAAAAATAAAATAGAAAAAAAAAACTAAATTAGTTATTAACTAAAATACTTTTTTAACAAATTACAATAGATAATATTTACTATATTACCTTTTTTGTAGTCTTATTTGCAATATCTGAAGTTGATAAATTAGCAGATTCTACTGCATCCAATGCAACGACATCACCATTACCATCATCATCATCATTATTATCATCATCAACAACAATACTTACAGATTTATTATTAGGTTTATTATTAGGTTCATTATCAGGTTTAGTATCAGGTTTTGGCAAAGGATTCGCTAGTTTTGGTAACTTCATACTACCTTCCTACAAATAATACAACATATTTCAATATTTCTCAAACCCAATATTTTTATCAAACAATTAATTTACCTTTTTTGGACGCAATACTGCTTGCAAACCAACAGTTCTTGTAATTAAATGTGGTCTAGCATTTTCATTGGCTTTTATCTCTTGTTTATGAACATTTACAATAGTCTTGATTTCTTTAAATTGTCTATTTAGTGAACAATATTTTAACCGCCAATGTTTTTCTCTTTCCCTCAACAACTGAAGTTCTGAACGGTCCTTACCCAAATATAATTTTTCTGTCATAATTTCAATAATTTTCTGTGTACACAAGCTATCGAATTGCTAAACAACAGTAATAAAACAAGACTAAATATATTAATTAAAATAATATATAGTTAAAATTAAAAACAGAAAAAATCTTCTTACGTCATAAGTCAATTCCTTTTTACTAAACAATTTTAATAACTGTGGAAAACTCTCTTTGGTCATCTGGTGTACTCCACTTACAATATTAGTGATATCTCCAGGTAAATCAGGTAAATCAGGTAATGAAATATCAGAATTAGTGTCAGAATCTATAACTTCAAAATCTCGATCAATACCATTAGAACAAGCACCAACATCCTTGCTATTATTTGTTTTACTATTACATGGATGATTTTCTATAATTTTAGTTTCATCAGTTTTTTTTGTCGAATTTTGTATTTTATTTTTAATTACCGGCAAATGTTCTGCATCGTTTTTTTTATTGTTTACAATTTTAGCTACCTCAGTATTTGAATGATTTAAATTACTTTCCTTTACAGTTGAATCAACTGATATAGATAAATTTGCTATTAACGGAATATCATCAACAACAACATTTTTGTCTGATAATGATGATTTATTTAAATTTGAAATTCCTTTGCCAGTACATGTATCGTTTGCAGCTAATTTATTTTCACCATTTTGTACAGTACTCTCGCCATTTTCAATAACTTCACAACTTTTAATAGCTTTACTTGAAATATTTTTGTCAGAATAATCTTCCTTACAATATTTATCATCAATGCCATTTTTATCATTATGGTTAATTATATTACAAGTTGAATTTGTATCATTGCTAGGATTGTATGTTTTATTCGATACATTAGATTCTTTGACACCATTTGTATTTTCTAGAGTCTTCGAAACTCTTTGTATCAACCGTTCAATATGATTTGTTCCACTATCATCGTTAGTATCTTCAAATTCATCTTCACTTAAATCAGTTAGTCTAATTTTTTTTTTTTTATCACTGTCTACTCCATCTGGCAAAGGTCGCTTTAAACCATTTGATAACTCATTTTTTGATGGAAAAGATGTTGTAGGAACATCATCAGGAAGTTCATCTGAAAAAATACACAAAAATTGTTTTCATTGAATTAATATTAGATCAAATTGTTTATCTATCACTCAATTTATTTATTTACTGATAAGTACCCAATAAAAATACTATCTTTAATGAAATACATGACCTATTGCCTGACTTACTTGTAAAATCTGATATTATAAGAAAATATAAATATTTAATAGTTTATCACTTTTGTTAATTTAAATGTCATAAAATATTCTGTTTCAGTACTAAAAATATTAAGCCAATTAGTTAGGTACCTAAATGAAATATATAAATAAATTTTAAATTGATGTTCACATTTAAATATTACCAAAAATGTATTAGTTTATTTGACATGAAATAAAATTAAGTAGGTACATATTCATTTAAAAATATTAAAACAATAATATATACAAAAATTTGTATTTATATTTATTTTTATTCCTACACAAAAATGGACATCATCTTAATAAATAATAAAAAAATATCAACACTGATAAAAAAATATTATTCAATAAAATAATATTATATTAGTTGGGTATTTATTTAAACTAAACAATGAGTCAATGAAACATTGTGGTGGTGATAATGGAACTAGCATCATAAATCATAGCAAACACAGATTCTACGTTTTTAACGCGATCCTATTAAAATCAAATTTAAGGGCTTTTCATTCTAATATTTATACAAAAATAACAGGATATTAAACAATCAATAAGTCTAAATGTATACGGTATTCGTGTAAATATGATTCAACTACCTAATCTATTCATTGTAATCCATAACGCAACTGTTTAACTATCAACGCTTGTACCGTAGACCTAATACTTATACCTATAAGGTCTATAGTACCTATATGGCTTGTACGGTGTCCATTTTTCTCTCTCTCTCTCACATATACATTCAATCTATCTGTTTGTCCATCTACGCGTGTACCAAGTATATGCTAGGTCAGATCACGAGCAAATAAACAATAAAAAAAAAACGGTATCAACTTACTATCAGGCAAATCAGGTTTCGACTGTTTCAGCGAGTCCTCATCTACAGCGGAAACCTGTTGTTCCGTCATTTCGCTAATCGCCTCGCCGGGCATGTTGTGAAAAACGGAACAATTACTACTACAACTGCCGACCCATGTCCGACGACGGTATCAACTAATTTCGAACAGCACCATAGATAAAGAATTAATATCGCGGATATCGCGGCGGCCGAATGGCTTCCCGAACAAGACGCCGTCTCGATCGGTTCGATATGCCGTTGTTACACGATCGCGGACTGCAAAAGCAGACGCTCTTATCGGTGTTCGAGTTTAGTCTGATATTTTACTCCCCAGTGTTCTACTCGGCCGCAGCCGGAACGACGACGGATCGCAAAACAACGTTTACATGCATTTTTTACAAATTCTATTGTGACGATCCCGGGACCAAACCTTCAGGCTCAGACGCCAGACGTCGGACTGTGCACTGCGACTGCGGTAAAAAACGCGTTTAAACGACAGCGAACGACGAACGGGCCAATGAAAAACAAACGATCGGACTGCGCTTATCAGCGAGCTACCAAGCTGGTCCGTTTCGTGCGGCGTTGCCGCGTTTGCATAGTCGTGACCCGTCGGAGATCGTCGTTGAGCTACAGATGCTTTTTGCAAAGCGAGTACGACATTAGACGACCATTATGTTTCGCCCGACTGTTCGACCCGTCGACATGTTGGCAAACGCGCACAACTCAGACAGGTCGACGGCCAACCAATCCGAAAAGAGAACGGGACTTAGACGTATGACGTGCCGCGGCGTTGCGACGGAGTGAAACGACAATGGAATACGAAATAATGAAATACTGAACAGAAAATACCCAAGTCCATAGATCCTCTACACACTACGTGGAAGTCGAAGACAGAAGATTTACCTTACAATGCGATAAAGTCACTCGTTTGTTGTGATTAATACTCTTTGCTTAGTTACCGTGCCCTCGTTGGAAAATAATGTTGAGCTATATCGATTTTTTCATCGAACTTTATAGATCAATGATTTATAGACATTCGTGGTTGCTTGGCACAAGTAAATCTGGCAAGTAATTTATCTACCTGTTTTTAACAAGACTTTCAGATCTGTCATTTTCGAGGCATTTCCAAATTCTTATTTTCTTATTGAATCCGTATTTTCTAATTTCAAATTATCATCATTTATCATACACAGTACTATAGCTTACTTATAGCTAACTGATCTTAAATTCATTTTCTTGACAAAATTTCAAAGAAATAAACTTTTGAAATTTGATATAAATTATCTATGAAGAGTAATAATTAATCAACAACAACAAATAATATAGTTAAACTAAACAATATGTTCTTTTAATTTCATGAACCAACGAATTTTAGTCGAAGATTTAAAATCAATTTCATAATTTATTAATGGACATCTTAAACATTTGTTCTAAGTACTAACCATTGTTTATAACCTTCAACTATAACTGAATTTAGACGATGTGAAAAAAACGTGGTTACTGGTTAGTTAGGTTATAAACTGTTCGAGTTGTGCGCATGGGCGTGACAATAATACACGGCAAGTATACATATAATTGACTGGGTGGGGGGACAAACGGGTGTTGCCTGACAGCGGATCGACGAAAACTGATCGCAGCAAACTTCGTTTCTGAAGAGGACGTCGTACCAGCATATTTTGTCTCTGCGTTACACACGGACGACACTACAAATTCAAAGGTAAGATTATTATCTACAACCCCGAGTAAGATTTTATTAATATAATTATTTTTAAGTTAGCTAACTTTATACCAATGCTCTTCCAGACAACCCAGCCAGACGCCTCAAACGTGAATGGCCCAGAGATCTTCTCAACGCACATTAAATCATTAATCATGTATATTACTATTTCTCCCTAAATTACCTTCCACGTAGGAATTTCTAATGTGAAACTTCTACTCATTGTACTCCCCTCATCACCACTTTTAATCATTATTCACATTTACTTATTGTACCATTTGTATAGATTGTAAATTTTCATAAATAAACGACATTTAAAAAAAAAAAGTTAGTTATTATCATTTTAAGTAGGTACAGTCTCAAAAAGATCGTTACTTCTTAAAAATAATATCAATAAAAGCATATTTGGGGCCCTAGACGATAATCTTACGTTCAAATTGTATGATACTGTCAATTCACTCTAATTTCAAACCTAACAGAACACTATTGAAACTGGTGAACGAAAATTTGCAGTGTCGTACGTGTGTAAGACGGAGACGACACATACGGACACGACGTCCTCCTACATGAACATAGTTTAGGTTATTCGCATATTGGTATATTACAATCTTCCGTGGTAGACATCATCGACGAGTGTCCGATTGCGACATGCGAGTAAAAAAGTAATGAGCGTACGACCAAATAAACAGAAATCATATATATTATAATGATAATAATATAATCATTATATTATATGTCGTTTCTTTAGAAAATAGTAATTTCCTTGGAAATGTCTTTCTTTTTTGTTCATTGGATCGCACTATCTATTGCGTAAAATATTGTCACCCAGGGTCTCGGCCTTTTTCATAGTGATAAACACAGAAAACGCTCTAATTTTGAGTACCTACACTAGTCAACTATGTCTTCTTTACCATAATATCTTTAAAATACTATAATTCTGTTAATATCTCTAAGAAAAAAAAGAATAAAGTCTGCATATTAGAGAATTGTTGTTGAATACGCCGTATTTTTGAAGTGAAAACTTCTTTAGCACTTTTTGTGAGTAATGGATGGAACTGACTCAGTTCAACTGAGCCGTCACGCTCGGCTATGTAACGCTCATTTGGGCGAAGTCGGCTCGAGTCGACTTAGCATGAGAGGAACAGTCAGCAGAACGAGAGAGAAAGATAGTCGAAGCGTCACTGCTATACTCACTCGGCAGAATTCGACTCCTTTACTCAATCCGAACTACCCGAATGAACGTTAGGTTAGGTTAGGCTAACCTAACCTAACCATCTTCATGGTCTTATAATTTACTTAGTTATCAGATATAGCAATTCTTCCGTTTTTATACGGAGTTATTCAATGAAATGTCTATTTTTAAACGGTGTATTCAGATTTTATTTTTGTTTAGTTTTAGCAAAGTAATGGTTATTTTTTCCCAGGAAATTTTCGGTGACGGCGACTACGACAATTATAAATATATTTATTGTTTTTATAATATACAGTTATAGTTATTAATTTATTAAATACAGTATTCGTATTACCAAACTTGTTTTTTTCTTATAATATAAATATATATATTATGATTTATAAACTTGTATTTCGTATTATTAATTTCGCCTTGTTGAAGTTTTCACTTATGTCGTGTGGTCTTAACTCTTAAGCACACACATTTTTTTATTTACGTTTAAGTACCTTTAGTCATAACTCCTAAGAAGCCAAGTAGATCTATGAAGCAGATAAAGTAAGACTTCAAATATGTAAATAGTATTTAAGAATGATGTTTAGTATATAGGAAGAGAGGAGTATTGGTCCAGCAGTATTATTGGTCAATGGTCAGCATTTCATTTATTTAATGTTGTGTTTCATTATTCTTGAATATAATAATATGATAGCTTAAACAAGAGTATAACATTGTTTAACAACTAACACGTGATTTAATTATTATGACTATAATTGTTTCAATTTTTGTGTATATTCCTTGATGGCTTAATCCATGATTGTTTACGTACATACAATAGTTATACATATGTACAGAGTACTTGTTATTTGTATATAAGTACCAATTAGGTTAATATAATATGGTATGATATCCTGTATCGAGACTTTCAATTGCTGTAGAATTGAGATGGCAATTCAAAACTATCTTTGTGAAGAAGTCGTTACACTACACTGCACATGACTTAAAGTCTTACAGATGTAAAACATCGCAAAACTGTTTTCCGCCGAAAAGAACCGAGAAGGCTTTAGTCACAACTAAGAAACGAAATTTTTCCCATGTAAAAAAGAAGACATTGGCTGTAAAATACCGTTTTTAT